CAACGGGGCGCGGGGCCAGCCGCCCGCTCCCCGCCCTGCCTTCCGCAGTCGCGCAGCGCCGTATGCGGGCCGCAGGCCGCCTCGCAGCCGTGCGCTGGGGCGGCAGGGGGCGCTCGGGCCGAGGAGTGGCGGCCCGGCAGCGCCGCGGGGCTCCGGCAGGGGGCGCTGCTGCGACGGGCGGGTCCGGGCGCGGTGCGCCTGGGGTGGGAGCGCTGAGATGTGAGCGCTGGGCTGAGCGCTGGGATGGTGCTGCGGAGCTGTGAGGACGGGAGGGGGTCCTGGCGGCTTGGGAGTGGCTGCTATGTATAGAAAAGTTAAAAGCCTGGGGTTTTGTTTTCTCCCCCAAGGAAAACGGCCTGTGTTGAACACTCTTCGAATTCATTTCAGAAAATTTCAGTGACATTTTGGAAAGCCAAAGCCATGAATGCACACCAAAATCAAAGCCATACAGCAAACATGCCTCGTAGCTGTGTAATGCACCCGTGCTGGAAGACAATGGCGGCTGGGGCCGCATGTGGGGCGGTGGCGGTGCCGGGCGGCCCCCACGGCCACACAAGGCTGTGCTGTGGCTGTGACTCTCTGGCCACAGAGAGCTGAGCCAGAAAATGAATGCTCTGGTCTTCCCATGGCTCCTCACATGGCCCCGGGCTGCACGCGAGCATTCATGATTCACTCCTCAGTCTCTGGGCAACCCAGGGGAGAACCGCCCGCTAGCTGCAGGGCCTGGTGTCAGCAAGCACGATTGCTGTGGCAAAGCAAAGCCTTGTTCTGGGCCGAGGCACAGCCAGATCCTCCTTCTGGCCTTTTCTGTACGGTGATAACATAAAGCAAGAGGCAGCTGGGGCTGGGCAGGTACGCATGTTGCTGTCCTGTGGTGGCTGCACAGCGCTCGTGGGCAGTGAACCCACAGCCGTGTAATATGTATCAGTATGGTAAGAGCTTTTTCCTATTGTGTTCTGAAGGAAAACAGAGATTAGGTGATGTTAGTCACTGGCTTCCCATCATGGTACACGTGCAGTGCTCTCAGATACACGTCTCAGAAGCAGGAGATGAGCAGGCTGTAGAGGAGCGTGCTGGCGGCGGGTGGGAGCAGCAGGGCTGTGTGAGCAGCGTGATGCTAAAGGGACTGTGCATACCTACTTGGAGGATCTTTTGGGAATTCAGATACTTTGGTTCCGCTGTATTTGAAGAAGTGTTGGGAAGACTTTGGGGCTCTAATATCTGTTGTAACTATTATTTTTCCATGGATACAGTCTCCAGAATTGAGCGATTGATTTTGTTTGGCCAATAACATGTACATATAACTAGCAGAAGGTGCTGCAGTGAAAGTGAAAAGATTAAACCTGTTTTGGGTATAACCTGCATCTTTCGTAGCTGGCTTAGCAAGCCTGGCTTTCGCATAACCCCAGGCATACATACAGAGCCTTGACTCAGTTACTGAGGTGGGAAAGGAGCCCATATCCCTACAGATCCCTGTTTAAGCACCTCTGTTTTTAAATACACTTTCTTTCTCTGTCTACAGAACGACTGGAGACTTCTTTGCTCCATGGAAAAATAGGAAGACAGAAAAATGCAGCATGTAAGAAATAAATTACATACTATTCTTTCCTCTTTTTTTTTTCTTTTTTTTTTTTTTTTTCCCCGCTGTTTTTGCCCAGTCAATTTTTTTTTTTTTATATTTATTTTTTAATGTTCCAGCAGGGTGAATCCTTAATCTCCAGCCATCCGATTGACCGCAATCAGTCATTTGCAGGCTCTCAGCACTTTGGCCCCACATATGTTCTCTCTTTTTCCTCCTGCTGTTCAGAAAGCCCTGCCCAGCTGCACACCTCGTTATGCCCTGTGGCTAGGCTATTTTAGGAAAACTTCTAAAGAAATAACAAAATCAACGGCTCGAACTATTGTAACTATGGGGCTGCGAAAGTAAAGGCTAAGTGCTGGAAAGGTATAGCAAAGCACTCAGAAGACAACTGGCTTGTCCTTTCTCTAAAGACCACCATTTTCCTAGATTCAGGCAGGGCACTTTAGGTTTTGCATCGTGTCATTTGTACACAGTGCCTCAGCCATTTTACAGAGAAAGCCAATTGCAGCCTGAAGAGGAAAGAAAGGTTCTCCGTCGTGATTTGAAGAAAGAAATAACAGACTGAAGTATGTGGGGGAGGCAGGGAAATAGCTCAGTGAAAAAGGCTGGGCAAACTGTGCCAGCTAAAACTTTCTTTGAGTTCATCCTGCTAATTCAGGCTATCGTATGGTTTAACATTTATTTCCTATTTAGCCTCATGGTTTGTGTTTAGTATTTGTGGAAATGAGTGTGAGCAGGGGTAGTAAGGATCATAGAAGAAGTTAAGTGCTAACTTAAAGAAATGGAAAGAGGTAAGTAGATTAAACAGCCTAATCCAGTCCTGCTGGACATGGACTGACCTCTTCCAGCCCTTGCTCCGGAGAGCTGAAATCACTCACCACCATAGAGGTGGGACCTGGTAGCTGCCAACTGGTTTGCTGAGGAGAGCACTTAGATCCCATGCTGACAGGGCCACGCTTGGCTGAGGATGTGGACCCTGTTGTGGGATGACCAAGTGATGTGCAACCTTATTCTTGCTTCTGCCAAGTTAAGGCCCTGCTCACGTGAGCAGCGAGGTTGAAGGACAGATAATGGTGCATGCCCACCCCAGGCTGAGCATGAACAGCTGCTTGGCAATGCCACAGGGGCACAGCGTGCAGCATGCCATCCAAAACAAAGTTCCTGCACCCAAATTCAGACGTATGCTCAGATCAAAATAACAAGAAAGATTTTTCATTTGTGAAGGACCAACTCCAAACCTGTGCAAGAGGAATGCTGCCATTTTCCCTCCACCGTCTGTGCTTTTCTATCATCTTTTGTGACATGGAGCTGGCTCACTGGTGCTGAAGCAGCCCCGTAGGAAAACAGAGCAGTAGTGGTATCGAAGCCTCCAACTGTGGCTCTCTGTATTGTTATCCCCCTCCCCTTTTCCAGATCCCACTTCAGCTTGATTCAGAAGGGCCACCAGCAGCAATGTGGAAAACTGCCCCACAGGACTGGGACTTAAACCTGAGACGAGGGAGAAGACACAGCTAGAAAGGAGGAATATGGAGACTTTTCAATTAAAGAAAACAGGAGTTACCTTTGCATGCCTCTGACAACAGGGGTATAAGACCCTGTCAGAAATGTGTCTGTGCTCAGCAAGGTGTCTGTGATTGCCAAGGACAGCAGATTCAGCTGGTTTGGACCAACTCTGGCATTTGAAAAAATCCTTTTTCTTCTGCTTGAATTTCTCTACCAGCTGCCTGCAAGTCAGGGTTTCCCAGCCAGCAGTTCTCACTGTTATCTGTTTTCAGTGGCCTTGATGTTTGCCATATCAGAGTGCTTTTCTTCCTCTTAATCCCACATCTGTGGGATCCCACTAGTGCAGACATGGGGTGGGCTGGGCACCAGCTGGGCACCGGCTCAGGGCAACAGTAAATGAATAAGCAGGGAGATGCATTCGCTCTGCTGAGGAAACAGAGAGGTCTGAAAAGCTGCCCAAAAATAACACGAGTGCTGATCTCAGAGAACAAAATAACAGAAAGCTCAAACGAAGGTATTGAAAATCAAAGCTTAAAATAAATGACAACTCATTAGACTAAATCTGAACTGTGCTAAAATTCTACCGGATGAAAAAGCTGCTATGGAAATAGTGCTGAGCAGCTGGGAATGGGATGAGCTGCCCTGGTTTCCTTCAGTCTCCAGAGCTGAGTGCTGCTGAGGAGTGCTTCCACTCCAACCCCAGATACATCTCACAGTCACTGAGATGGGGAGGGCTGATTAAAAAATGCTGCTAGAAACATAAAGGGAGAGGTTCTCAGTCTCCAAGGGGCCACAGAGCTGTTCTGAACCGGCACGCACTGGTTGTTTCCCATCCCCTCCCATTCCTAGAAGTCACAGGGAAGGAAATATAATTTGGAATGTCTGTATTGTTATATTTTTTTTTAGTTCTATTCTTGATCACGTTCAATAGCAGTTCAAAAAGGAATGGGTCAAATCCAGTTTTAGTTGAAACCAACAAGCAAGCCAGCGAACCGGTACAGTTCTGGTCACTTCTCAGTGCCCAGCACAGGGCACGGAGCCTTCCGAGCTGCAGAAGGTAAGAAGGGCTCCAGTAGTTTTGGGGTGGGACTGGGGCTCGGGGCGCTGATATTGGCTTTCAAGAAGCTGTAGATCCAAGCAGTATTTTTTTTAATGACGGTTTAATAATTAAAACACAGAGTTTGATAGCGACGCTCTTGTCCTTCCCCGCCGCACCGCAATGAAGTAAGGCGGCGGAGGACAGCTCCCAAGCCCGCTTCCCCGGGGACGACCTCCCAGCCGTGCTCCCGCGGCACCTGAGCGCGGAGGGGCCGGGGCGGGGCGGGCCTTCACATGCGCGGCGCCGCGGGAGCCATTGGCCGCCGCCGAGCCGCGGGCGGCGCTGGGGGCGCTGGGCCGGGCCGCCGGCAGCCGGTGCCGTCCGTGCGCCGGGCCATGCGGGTGCGCGTCGCACGCGGGGAGCGCGCTGCAGGGCGCCGCTAGGAGCCGAGCCCGCCCGGCCCGGCCTCCCCTCGCCGCCCGCAGCCGTCCGCATGGCAGTGCGGCGGGAGTGAGCGCCGCGGGAGCCAGCCGGAGCCCCGGGAAGGTGCGTGTCCGCGCTCGGCTCGGTTCGGCCCGAGGGGTCCCCGTCGCCCCTTGGTGCGGCGAGGCGGGCGGCGGAGCCCCGGGCGGGGGCGGCGGAGGGACCGCGTGGGCAGCCCCTCGCCTGCCTCCCCGGTTTCCCAGCGATCCGTTCTTTCTTTATTACCTTTTCATTTGATTTTCCGTTTCATTTCTGTTCGCTGTAATTCCGCCTTCGGAACGGCCGCGCTTTGCCTGCCCACGTTCCCGCCGACGCCGCCGTCCCCCCCCCGGGCCCCGGGGCGCGCCCGCCGCACCGCGCGCCGTCCGCTGCGGCTCTGCGCGGGGAGCGGAGCCGCGCCGTGGGGGGCGACGGGGCAGCGCAGCCCTCGCCGGGCACCGTCCGCGTTTTCTCGAGGCGCCCTCTCCGCCCTTCCCCGTTTCCCCTCTCCCCGGTACGCGGCGATACCGATCTCTTTCCCCGGCGACCCGTGAGCCGGGCGCAGCCTCGCGACCTCCATTTCCCCCCGGCCCCGTTAGAAGCGCCGCCGCTGCCGCGCGGCGTTCCGGCATCCCCCGGCGGGCAGCCCGAGGGGCGGTCCGGCAGCGCCCCGCGACCCGTCTCCCCCGCGGCAGGTTGCTGGGGCTGGAAAATGGAGGGCGGCGGCGGCGAGCGGCCCGCCGTGCGCTGGGGACGGCTCCGTGCACTTCCTGTAATGGTGGTGCTGAAAGTGATGAGCTGCTCGGCTCAGCCGCCGCCGCGGGGAGCGGAACGTCCTCGCTGCTCGCGCTGGGTGCGTGCCGCTCACCGGCATTGTCAGCTGCGGCTTTCAAAGCGACACGGGGAAAGAAGGGCTTTCTTGGCAGCGGTGGGAAGCAGCCATCCTTCCGCCTCTAGAACTGGAGGTGGGGATGGCTGTGCCCCCTGGTTAGGGCACTGGATCAGAGCTATCAGAAGGCGTTCGCAGTCCAGGCGAGGCCTAGGGGTCCCCTTCTGTTTCTTTCCCTCTTCAGAGAAAGAAGAGAAAGATGCGTTTATTCACGTTTTTTCAACTTGGGAGTAAGGGTTGGTGGTACAGGCAGCATAATTTGCACTTGATTGCTATCTTAAATGAATGCAGCAAGGCTTGCTCTAAGGCCAGAGTCACATTCGTTCTCTGTGATTTATAAATCCCCTTGAATCTTTTGTTGCTGCCTGAAACCAATTTATGGGGCCCTGACCCAGGGATACGCTGCCCTGGCTGTATTTTTTGTGCTGTGCACCATTTTCTTTGATGTTTCTGTGCGAGCGTTGCCTTTGTAGCAAACTCCTTTGGAGCTCTACTTGCATCTTGCCTGGTGTGAAGAACGCTTCTCTGCTATGTCTGCTGAGTCTGTGCTTTTGCACATAATAAAAAGGGAATATTGAAATCGATGCTGTTATTTGCGAGCAGGGTCACTGTGCTAGAGCTGCCAAGCTCACAGAGCCCACCCAAGGAGAGGCAGAGATGGGAGCAGCGCTGAGCAGCGCTCCAGGCTGTGGGATGCAGATGTGCAGAGGGATGTGGATGTGCGGCAGGTATCTGCCCCGGGCCCAGCACCTCAGGAGGCAGCAGGCAGCTCTGTGCTTTGCTCAGCACTGGGGTAGGAATTGAGAAGCAGCAGCACAGCAGCTGAGAATGCCAGTGGAGAAAACAGTGCGTGCGTTCCTGTGGTCAGGAGCACTTGCGGCCACGTGTGCTGTGCTGGGTGCGGTTCTGCAAGAAGTGACTGCGCTGAGGCTTCCGGCATCCAAGCAGTTCTTCTCACTCCTCCACATCTTCCTGTTGCTCCTTGCCATGTGTTCAGGTCCCATTCAAACCCTGCTGAAGACAGCTAACATAAATGGACGCTGAACCAAGCGCGGTGTTGCTGGCTGAGGTTCCCCTCGTGTTGCTGGCTGTGTCAGCTCCTCGCTGAGCTGCGAGGGAGGCAGTGCTGGCTCAGCGCCTTGGCAGGGTCTGCTGTGCCTCCCGTGCTCCTCCGACTGGGGACGCTGGCTGATGGCAGGGGACTGATGGGCGTCCTGCGGCTGAGGCTGTTTGATCAGTGGGGCTGGCGATGGCGGTTTTACCAAGAAGTGGTTTAGTCACTAGCAGTGTCATGGGGGATGCTAGGAAACCCTTTTCTCGACTGGTACAAACAGAGGAGAGTTCTGTGTTAGTGGTGTGATGGTTGGTTTTGTTTTTGTTTTGTTGCCAAATAACAAACTTGAAAGGTTTTTTTCTTCTTCTCAAAAGCACAATCTGTATCTTCAACTAATTCATAAAAATACCCAAAATATTCATAAAACACTGTAAGCAGTATTTACCTTACACTCAAATGCTACTGTATAAAATGGAAAGAATAAAACGTTAAGTTTCTGAAGTTTAAATTTCTCTTTTATTTTGTTGTATTGAAAATAGACTGCACTGTTCTCCTTCTGCTTGTTTCATTTTCTTTCTGTTTGACTTGATTTGTTTTTATTTTTTTTTGTCTCTTTGCATGGAGAAGTGATACCACTATGCTATTGATACGTTAAGATAAATGGAAATAAATTCAAAGTTTCTGGAGAAAATTATGTAAGGACTTATTTGTGCTTTTGCATGACTGACACATTAAACTATTTTTTTTTCCTAACAAGCAGTGAAAAGCCTGTGGACTTCACCATGCAAAGACTTGTGGATATGACTAATTTTCTGCACATGTGCAGTCTCACGAGCATGCTTGCAGAAGGCTTTCTGGGGTCACAGCAGCGCTGCTTCATCTTGGAGTGTTTTTGCTTGGCTGTGATCGAGCTGCCATGGGCCTGGACCTGGAAGTGCTTGCCAGAAAAAGGCTGAAACACAGAGAAGGATGCCTGTGAAATACTATTTTCTAGGAACTACCAGCATTGCATTCATGAAAGCTGATTGCAGTTTTAAAGCAGTTTCACACCTTTTACCTTGAGGAGACTTTGAAACAGCTTTTTCAAAGTTTGGCTTTCCTGAGCTGGGGACGGGATTGGCTGGAGATCTTTTGGTCTAAGCAAATTGAGTGCAATTTTCTTTTAACCATGTAACAAAGAATAGGTACTGATTGCTTGCCAAACAATGTTTCCCCTCAGGGATTCCATACAATTTTAGGAAAGAACAAAGCCAGCATTTCTAGTGTTTAACTTGATGAGAATCATCCTGGGGTTTGGCACGTTAAAAAGCAAAGTGCGTCACAAGTCAATTTGGCACTTTCTAATGCCATCAGTAATACTCATTTCCACATCACTGAACTTACTCTGCTTCCATCTTTCCCTCACCACAAATCTCTTTAACTAAAAGATTTGAGGCTCTTTTTGGTTATTTCTGTATTCTTTTCAGCCTGGCTCCCTCTAGGAGTGGATACAGAAGGCAGCTCAAAGACTGCCATGGAGTGCCTCCCTGAATTCTCAAGAGGCATCCTTGGAAGGAGGAAGCTTGTTTTCTTGGAGTTACCCAACAAAATGCCTTTTTCCCCAACACCTAGAGGGAAGCAGTGCTATGGAAGAGAGCTTGTCTGTGCCAAGAACCTGTTTGCTGGCACTGTTCTAAAAGAAACACCTCCCCTTTTCTTCCTCCTTTTCATGTGTAAACCAGGCTGTGAAAGCATGTTGTTCATGTAGTCTCAAAGCTGTTCCTACCTGCAATTTTCCTTTTATCCACTTGAGCTCGTTCCTCAGAAGTGGTTCGTACTTGTGATACTGGAGGTTTCTGAAATGATCCCTGTATGAAAAACAGCCACCCTTAGGGAAGGAGGGAAGAGTTATTTGTTCCTCAGATTTTTTTTCCTTGTCTGAGACCACTCGGTGAAGCAGAAGAAATAGCCAGGCTCTAGGTGTGTGGCATCCAGCAGTCGGTGAGGGTAGCAATCGCCTTTATTCCCTGCGGTCCTGCATTTTGTGTTGTCTGATCCATAGAAGAAGTGGCCCAGTTCTTGTGACCTGTCTTGTACCTTCTTAGCGTTAAGATTGAGCTCTCACTGTATGTGATCTCGCTGTTCATCAAAGTTGGGCATCTCAGGTGTTCTGTCTCACGGAGGTCTGCCTTGAAGGCTAGGAAGCTGCAGTGGAAGATTTCTTTGACCAAAGAGTGGACGTAACAAATAAATGTTATTGCTACCCATTGTTGTCAAATGGCTTTTAAAACTGGAAAAAAAGACACAATTCCCATACCAGAGTTTTAAACAGCCATAATATAAATCTCTTTCTCCTCACTTGCTCAGAGCTGTTCTGTCTGGGTTGTGTCTCTGTATTTCCTGAATGCTGAGAACACGTGTGGGTCCCCATGCAGGTGTCCCTTGCTGTGTTGGATGCATTGCCTCTGTTGCCCGCATGGATCTGGCAGACATGAAGAGATTGTTGGTAGGCAGTGTCCCTGAGCATCTGCTGGATAGATCCATTAGGTGAAGATTGGCCCAATGGCAATTTTTTGTAGCCTTTCCAGTGAAGCAGCAGGGCAGGCTCTTTCCTGCCCCCACACAATTAAATGACTGTAAAGCTTCAGACAAGATGCAAAGAATGAAGTCCAAGGGGAAAACAAAAACCATGCTAGTCAGCACTGAGATAAGTTTTCTCTATAAAGTTGTTCGCATTGCCCTTGGGTTCTGCAGGAGACGGGGCTGCCACACCTTAGGTGTTTTCAAGCCTGGCTAATGCCGTAGATGCCAGCGTGCCCCTAAAAGCAGTGTTGGTTTGTTGGCTTGGTTTGGGTAGGCTTTGTTTGAAGAACTTCATTTTTGCTGCAGCACTTTCCAACTTCTGATTATAGCTGTAAGGAGAAAACATTGCAGGTGGTGTCTGTGTGATGTATGTTCTTCAGCCATCACAGCAGGGGGAGAAAGGGACACTTACACGCTTCCAGTTGGTGTGAGATCTCAATGAAGAGTGCCTGTGCCTGCAATAGCCCAGGTGTGAGCTTGCAGGAGCTGTGTACTGGGGACAGAGAATGTTCAGTAACCTTGTAGTACTTTAAGGTCAAAAGAGACGCTGGTCATGCCAAGGAGATCTTGTGTGTGCTTTTAGGTGTGTATGTACAAAGTTGATCTTTAGCATCTTTTGTCAACAAAAAGTATGGGTTGTGTTAAATACAATGATTAAAAAAACCCTAAGCTTATACAACAGTACTTTGCTAGTCACTGAAAATAACCTTTTGGTTCAAAAGCTGCTTCTGTGCATATTAATATTTTATACAGAAGTATTATGTAATAGACATTTTGTCATCTCTGCAGTCGTGCACAGAGGAGCACATTATCCAGCTTGTGTCATTCTGGTTGTTCAGCATAAATTTGCCTAAACCAAAAGCTAAAAAACTAAACCAAAGCAAATGTCAATGAATAGTTTTTTAAAAAGTCCATCTTGCATATCTGTATGTGGGGTTCTGTGTACAAACCATGGAAAGGTAGTACAGGAATCAGGATCAGATGGTCACTGTCTGAAAACATGAGTGAGAAGTGGGAAAGGTAATGAGTGTCCATTCAAGCTCTGTTGTGGTCACAGACACTTTCTGCATGCGTTAGCAATTGCTTTCATCAAGGATGCACAGAGGAACCAGACTTCACGCTTAGTCTGACTGGTGTTTAAAAATACAACCTCACAAATCTACATAGAGTTCCTCTTGGTGGCTGCCATCCAACTTACTTTCTGTCTAATTAAGTTAAGAAATAATACTTGAGCTACCTTAGCCTGAAAGAGGAACTGACAAAAGGAACACGAAACTTTTTATGCGTTTGAGGTTTTTCTTCTGTCTTAACTCATTGGCGTTGTTAGTAGAGGGAAAGGGAAGACAGATTCAGTAGTTCTGCTCCCCACCTCTCCTGTCTCTCTGACAACAACTGCACTGGCCCCTGGAATGAGGAAGGAGTGGAAGGCAGATACACAGGGCTGCAGGGCTGGGTGCTCAGTGTGAGTGCTCCAGTGGGCAGCAGTTAGCAGAGGGTCTGATAAGGGCAGTGAAGAGGAGTTGCTCTTGGGAGCAAGAGTAAGCTGAGACACAGGTGTATGGATAAAATGGGAACGTGGAAACTGTGGTGGTTTGGACAAGACTCTAGTGGTTGCAAGTCATGGTTATGTTTTGTATTTGTTTGGTCTTAGTGTGATTTGATTGAAGATGTACCTAGATAGAAAGGTGAATTAATGAGGTTCTGTATTAGCATCAGTTGGTTTAACCAAAATGAATTTTTTTAAAGGAACTGCTGAGCCGTGTTGTGGTAGAACAGGAATGGTAAAACATACATGAGAATCAGAAAATAGAAACACCAAACAGGCATTTCGAAATGCAAAAGATAATAGCAACAGTGTGGCAAAGGCAAGGAGAGGGTAGAATCATTGAGGTAAATGTGAGTTAATGTAAAAGAAAATCTTGAAGCATTAGATTGTGCATAATCCTCTGCATGTGCAAGGCATCCGGGTGCTGCTCATGCTGGGGGTCAGGCCTTCTCCAGCAGCAAGGCTGTGTGTTCCTGTCTGGGTGGCCAACTTCTGCTAAGTGAAACTAGTCCGGAAGTGTATTGCAAAGCAGTATAGACCTGTGTGTAGACTTACGCATCCATTACAGCATGTTTAGCTGGCACCTGAAGGCTTGTATGCTGGACTGATAAGAACCTAGCTTTACCCCCACCATATCTGTGCTGTGAAGCTGCAGTGTCTGTGTGCAGGGCAGCCCAGAGCTGCAGGCTGGCAGGCAGCATGTGGGCAGTGGGGCAAGGACAGACACAGTGCTGCTCCTCCATTTCCTCTCCTCCCATCGCTTCCTCCATCTTGGGGCTTCCTCAACAGCTGCTTGCTGACTGAGCTTGTAAGGTCTTGTACTTAGCCTGCTGTGCAGTAAAGGATATAACACTAGAGCTGCCATTGGCAGCCCCCACTCCTGCTGCCTGAGTCAGTGAGTGGGCTGCTCGCAGCACCAGAGCATCCTGCCTGCTTGCCCAGTGGGTCTTGTTTTGCTGTGTCTTATCGCCTTCCTGGCTCTGGAATCAGCAGGAGAGGCACGAAAAAGAAGGGGCGGATGGTGGGGAGCTCCTGAAGTGAAGAGGTGACATGGGAAACACTGCAGCAGAGCTCAGGTGTGGGCTGTGATCTGTGGGGTCGGAGCAGAAGCAGGGTTCCTGGCCTGGCTGCAGCAGGCTGCTCACCCCACTGCCTGCCTGCTGCCCCGGGCCTGTGCTTCACCCAGGCACAGCTGGGGAGCGGGTGGGGGCCTCTGGAGCAGCGGGGTGGCCTCTGTCAGCTGGAGTGGGTTGTGAAACCTCTCTGGGAGATAGCAGCAGAATCTGGTATTTATCTGGTTGGGTTACATGCTGCTTTCGACAATGCTTCTGGAGTAGGTTTCTGCACTGGCTTGGGGGTTTTCTTCACTCGTTGTAGCGTGACATTTTTCCTGTGTGGCGGCTTGTTGTTTGTCTTTCTCATGCAGCAACAAGGGAGGAAGATGGCATTTTAACCAAAGCGACTGTCAAATGTTGGCTGCTGGTTGGGCACTGGGAGATGTGTGGAACTGAGAATTACTCAGTTGTGAAACTCAACATCGTAATGAGTGAAACTGCTTCATTTGTAGTTATTTTATTAACTGTGTTATCTTCCTCAAGATCTGTACTTCTTTCCCAAAATACTGTGACTTCTCTCACTTTATTTTTTTTTTTAACAGAATTCACAATAATTTGGTCTGCAATTGTGTCATCTGATTTCCTTTTATCACTGTGCAAGCAGCGATTGTTTCTCTACTAAGCACAAGAGAAGTAGTGCTTTTATTAGTGGAAAAAAACGTTTGAGTGACTGCACAAATGGAGCTGCACATTAGCTGCAGCGTATAGGAAGGACATGGTGTGTGGTGGTGGCACGTGCTGTGCTAGAGGTGCCCAGTGGCTGACGGGGTGATGCCAAGTCATGCCTGGCGATTTATACAGCATTTCCTATTTTAGTATTAGTATTTTCATTTCTTTAACCAAAATCTTATTCTTGAGTGGTTTTTCTTGTGATTTGTTTCCTTCCACCTCTCCTCCAGGTATGTTCCAATTTGTGTGTTTCTTCTGTCCTGGAAGGGGGACGAGGCTAGTGGTGGACCTGAGCAGGCTTTCAGATTGAAATAGAACTCATCTGCGAGGGCTTTCCTTCTCTTCATGCTGCACTGTTGCGGTCCTGGTGCTTAGCCTCTGCCGACACTCTCCTTAAAGGTTGATGTGTTTTCCAAAAACACAGTGCTCTTGCTTTGGCAGCGGGAACTGCCTTTGCCTTCTGTTTTCAAGAGCAGATTGTTGCCTTTGGCATGGCTGCAGAGGAGAGGCTGAGGTATGGCAAACCCTTCTGCTGTGGATCTGTGACCTCGCAGGAGAGGTTACGGAAACAGCCAAGGGGAACGGCCCCACGGCCGTCAGAGCATTCTCTGTCAGAGCTCAAGTACGCTCCAAAGGTCTGTCCTGAAACTGCTCACTGCAGATGTTTGTGTTCAGTCAGGGCTTTTTTTCCCATGTATTTAAAAGCAACAAACTCTGAAGCCTCTGTTTCTGGTACTGCAAAGAAAGCACGTTCTCCCAAGAGACCACTTGGCCACTTTGCAATCCCCAGCCCCTCTGATGAAGGGAAAGGAAAGCCCTTGTAGTTTCTGCCCTGTAATTTCCTGGTGTTCTTGACAGCACTTTCCCATCTCCTTATGCAGGTCCCCGTGTGCAGCAGGGCCTGGCGCAGCAGCTCCCTGCAGGCTGCAAGGTGGGCTGTGCTGGGAGTGCAGCGGCTCTGGGTGCTGGCTGTGAAGCGACATTGACACACCTAGCAGCTTGCTCCATGTTTGCTGATTGGAAGCAATTACTGTAAAATACTTGATTTATAATGAGGTATACTTAAAAAGTGGCAAATGAAAATAAATACTCATGAATAACGTGCCGACACGTGGCTGCTGGCTTTGCTGAAGTGCTGCTTTCTGTCCATGGACTCCGCTCAGCCTGAGCAGCTGGAGGGGACCAGAAGGCAACTCATTTAGGATATTTTTGAAATTATTAATATGAGGGTGTGCTTAGCCTTCCCCAGAGGCCAGGGGTTGTGGTAAGAGGATGACTAATGCACCACTTCTGTGTCGTAGAGCAGTGTTTCTGTGACTCCCCCTCCAATAGCTGTACCTTACTTGTCCGCTTTGATTCACATCTGTTTGTTTTTGCAGAGGAAGCATCCGTGGCACTCCTCAACATGAGCCAGTGACCAACAGCGCCTGGTGTGGTGTCACCAGAGCCTTCTGGAGCCACAGCTCAGCCCAGCTGCAGCCAGAGGAGGGAGGAGGAAAGCACAGCCTGGTCAGGTATGGGGCCGGGAGCAGGGCAGACTGCCAGATGCTGACCTGAAGTGAGGTTGTGAATGATCCTTAATTTAGAAAATATAAAATATGGAGCTCTGTTCCTTAGAAGTGTTGCAAATGTCACACTTCTATATCATCCCTGTGCCTGGCGTGGGTTTGTACTGTAAGCTTCATTCTGTACTGGATTGGAGGTGAACGTAAACAGATGCAGCTTCATGCTTTCTGGGACATTTGATTTAGATGTTCAGTGTGATGCAGCCCAGTGCTTGCCAATACCTGTACCAAGGCTCCGTGTGGGTTGGAAAGAATTGGCTGGGAATGCTCTTAGTGAGTGTTTGAATGTTGAAGAGTGATTTCATGTTTTGAAGGACAGATATTTTTCTTTATTAAGTGCCAGCTTTCAAGAAGCACAAAGTCGTACTGTACAGGAAGGTAGCAGGCTGATGAGTTTTAGGACAAAACCAACTGTCAGCTTGCTAACTGTTTTTTTCTTTTTTTTTTTCTTTCTGAGATTCCCTCAACTATTCTGGGAAACTGGTATTTATTCTTGTGTGCACATCTTTCAAACTGTCAGGCATCCAGAGGGCTTTGTTAGGCTCATCTTTGATAAAAACAGTCAGAGAAGTTCAAGGTTTCGATGTACTGTTTTGTTTCCTTACATAACTGCACTTTTCAGTTGATGTGGAACTCCTGTTCTTTGGACCATGTTCTAAGAAGACTTATGCATATTCTCTGTGCACATCAGAGATTCAGGAACAGGACTACCACTTGTGCTGCTCACACATTAGGTGGGGTGACAGTAGCCCACAGTTTTCTTTTGGAGGGAGGTATTATCTGAAGAGGCACAGTGATTTTCACCTCGAGTGATGCTTTCTTTCCAGAAATATCAGCATCTGTCGCTTATAATGTCTGAATTTATTACAGTCACAGATTGATGTTACTTTTTATTTATTTATTCCACACAAAAAAAAGTTGGGTTTTGTTTGGATGATCCGTTTTGAAGAATATTCTTAGTATTTTTGGGGTGATTTCCAGTTCAGTCTGATTATATCTTTCCTGGCATTGTTAAAAAAGGGGAGTCTTTTTCTAGCATGCTGTGGGGAAGCCTTCACTATTTTGTCTTGGGAAATAAGAATTAGCATTTATTTGATTCAACAATCAGCTTCCTGCTTCACAGGGAAGAGATAGTGGTTCATTTGCCTGCAAACATCCCTCCTGTGGAGCATCTTTGTCAGGGAGATAGAGGAAAGCTGGTAGTGACTGGGGAAATAGCTGCAAAGCAGGATGAAGAGGGATTACTGAAGCATTACTAGAAAACGTATAGCTATGTGCAAGACCTCATGTACTCTGCAGACAAGCTGACCTAAATTCTACAGCCAAGCCTTCCTGGTTTCTGTATTGATGCATTGTGGCAGGCTGGATGGATAACCCGCAGCAGATCTGTGTTTAAAGGAAAAAAACAAAAAAACCAAAAAAAAAAAAACGCAGGGGAGAAATTTATATTTGAGATGGCTGCCTTTATGACTGTGCTTGATCTGCCTAACACTTGTGTTGTTTTTTGTTTGTTTGTTTCTTAACCATTAGTTCTCAATTTTAAGTACTACTCATCAGGATGAGGCTGTGGTATAAGTATTCTCATTAGGAAGAGTGAGAGGCTCTTTAATCCTGGATTTAAAGTATGTGGATTGTTTTACCTATAAGAGGCTTTTACAGATGGTTTAGCAAAGAAATGCTAGTATGCATCTTATATCAATATATCTTATCAGTAGAGAAGCAATTAACTGACCCAACATTTAATCATGGCTTGTAGGGTGTGTGGAATAGGGTTTGTATTTGCTTGTCAAAAAATGGAATAGCTTCCACGTATGTTTTGAGACTGTATGTTTATTTGTGAAGGTTATTGTACACAAAAGTACACATAGGAAATGAAATGCCACCTGTGTCAAAATAAAGTTGTTGATTCTGACCTGCACGCAGAGCTTTGCTGCCGTTACTGCTTATGGTAGGGTAGTGTCTTTGCAGTTTGGTTTCTACTGGCAAAGATCCGGTGTGATGGCAGTGACTGTTTCCTCCCTTTTTCTGTGGACAGAAACTATTCTGATGCAATACTCTCCTTCTCCTCAGCCCTCTCACATACATGCTTTCTCTACTTCCTCCTGAGGTGCCCCTACAGCAACAAGGGACTTTTCGGCTGGTGCTGCTTGAGCTGGGTTTATGCATACGGAAAAAAGAAAAGGAATGGTTTATGCATGCAAAAAAAAATTTGCAGCCTCTAGAAAGGTTTCTGCAGTAGGATATTTTCTGGCAGAGTTGGGAAGCCTTCCCCTCACCAAAAGAGGAGAGATTCTTGACTGGTACAGCTAAATCAGCAAAACATTGGTGTGTTGGGGGCTTTACTGTGCAAGTGTTCTGGTCTGATGACTAGGATCAAGTGTGAGTGTAGTGTATATTATATATAAACTGACATCCGGAAGCCCATTTCACAAGAGTGTAAGCTTTAAGCTCTTTTGAATTTAAGAGGAATTTCTGCAGCTGCAGACTGACAAAGTGCCAGGGGAAATAGTGATATCTTCAAACACAGCTCATTTATTTTAAATCACTGATGTCACTGATGTGCTTTTAAAAGCAGCTCGTTTGTATGAGCTATTTGTTTTACTTTATGCACACAGCAAGTGGCAGTGAAGGGGACCTGAGGAAGGCAAAGATTTTCTTGGTTGTTTTCTTCCTTTGTTTCTTGCTGCAGCACCAGTGAGCAGGGCACGCGTTGTCCCTCTGTGTGGTGTAAAACAGAACATTAGCTCTCCGGAGGCAGGTAAATCAACTGGATTTACTTAGTACACATCAGCTCAGTCTGTGAGCAAACTGTAAGTGCACTGATACCACGCTTCCCGTTCAGAAGTAATGCGAGTCAGCGTGCACTGAGCTGCACACCGAGTGCCAGGGTCAGCAGTGCTGGGAGTCCTTGGTGCCCCGTGTGCCAGAGCTGTGAGCCTGCAGCAGGAGGGGATGGTGGCAGTGGCTGCTTGCTTCTGAAAATAAAGGGAACGTGCTCTCACAGCAGCTTTGACTGCGACTCCCCCAGGGCAGAAGTGTGTACCGAGGAGCTGTGTGTTTCTAAGCGACCCCAGGCTCTGGGATGGGGCTTTGCTGGCTTCCTCACCGGTCTGCCTACTCCCGTGTTATGTGGCCATTGATGTCAGCAGTGATGTCGGTGTTGCCCGTGGCCGGTGAGGTGCTGGCAGTGCGGTTGCAGCCAGTTCCAGCCAGCTCCTGCTGGGCCAGAGCCAATCGCTCTGACCGGTTGTTGGAGCCCACGGCGCTGGGCGGTAGGCAGGGCAGCAGGCAGTGCGGCCTGGGCGGGAGGAGAGGCTGCTGCTCTGTGGGGCTGTGGGGCACGTGGTGGCCTCATGGAGACGGAGAGCTTGGCTCCAGCACGTTGCTCCACCACTCTGCTCCTCAGGGCAACAGGAAACACGGTGAGAAAAGGCTCGTAGGTTGGGATAAGGACGGGAAGATTGCTCCCCAGTTGCTATCACAGGCAGCAGACTCAGCATAAGGGAGATTAATGTAATTTATTACGTGTTGATAAGAGATGAGAGCAGCGAGAACTAAAAGCACCTTCCTCTCATCTACCCTCTCCTACCTCCTGCCTCCAAAGGCTCAGGGGAAGGGGGAATAGGGTTGCAGTCAGCCCCTAATGCTTTGTCTCTGGTCACTCTCTGCCCGTGCTCCATGTGGTTCCCTCCCAGGGGATGCTGTCCCTCCCAAACTGGTCCTGTATGGGGTTCCCACAGGCTGCAGCTCTCCAAGCCCTGCTCCAGCATGGCTCTGTACCCCAGAGCCCATCCTTCAGGAGCGTGCTGCTCCAGCTTAAGTCCCCACAGGAGGCTGCTCTCTGTGGGCTGTACCTCTTTCAGGCCACATCTGCTGCTTCACCGTGGGCTCTTCCATGGCTACACATGGAGATCCGCTCTGCACAGTGCCCACGGGCTGCAGGGAACAGACTGCTCCTCTGTGAGCCTCTCCTGAGCTGCAGGGAGCTTCTGCTCCATTCCTGAACCAGCTCCTGCCCTCTTCTGCACCAATTTTGAAGGCTGAGGGTTTCTTTATCCCTCATTTTTTCTTCTTTTTTTTTTTTCTCCCAGCTGCTTTATTTCAGTGCTGCCATGGTTTAGCTATACTATTGTGTCACTTTGTTCATAGCTTTTCCTGGGCTCTTTATAGAAAACTTTTACATTTAAATAAATAATGCATTCCTTAGTTTTACTGATTATTTCAAGTGCTAGAGTTTGTTTGCAGTTAGAACATTCTACTGTCTCTAGTGATTAAATGTAATAATCCTGGCTTTTGCTGTCAAGTTTCCAAACTTTTCATGCATCGAACTTTGCATTTCATGAAGTAACTCTTGCTCTGTGTTTTAACAGAAGCTGTAGAAAAGTTTTCTGTGCATAGTTAGAATGGGTTTCATCAGTAAGGCATCGTCCCATGCCCTTAACACTTCCCCAGAAGCTGGACAGCAGAGTGTGAGTGGTAGAGCAGAGAGGTATAGGATGGGACAGCAGTGTGGAGCCAGGAACATGGGTAGTGTATTGGTTTGGTGCTGTGGATTCTGCTGTCCTGGGATGTGTACCCAGAGTAAGACAACTTGGCATGTCTGGCTGTTAGCCTGATAAAATAATCAGGCTGCCAAGAAATCCATCATTTTGTTAAGCATCACTGGAGATTTATGGTGTGTGCATTCCTCTTTAATGCAGCTGATTTAAGATATGCAAATGTGTTTCTAGCATTCTGTCTGTAGTTTTTCTCCTTACAACTCTTGTAATTTAAATTTTTTGTTAGCTTATTTTGCACTCCTGCTCTGTCTGAACCAGAGTTCAATCAGAAGGCAGTACTGGAAGAGAAGTTCTGTTTCTTCCACTAAAATAGTATGTATAGACTGTGGGGGGTGGGAAGATGAGAACTGGTGTTCTCATCTATAAGCATTTAGCAAAGCTAATTTCAGG